CGCGTCATCGGCTTTGCGCAGGCGTTCACTGTTCTCACATTCTTGTCTTTCCTTGCGCACAGCGTCATTTCGTGATGAGCCCAGTCTGTCAAAAAGCATGGTATATTCGTCGTTAATCAGATACAAGCATCGCGAAAGGTCCCTATACACATCGGTAACATGGTCAAACTCCAGGCCAGTACAGAAGCAAGCGAATCTACTCGCGTCCACCGACCCTCCTTTCGTAGTCGTCTTCAAGCCTAGAGGCATCCACCACCTCGACGCCCTTGCCCAGACCGATCATGTCATTGCGAACCTGCCACCACCTAACAGTGTGCTCGCTCTCCTTGCCCTTGCGCATGGGGCCCTCATCGTCCGTGTCAACGAGCCCACCAAGGCCAGTGCCATCACCCCCAACAACGACGATGGTCTGCCCAACCCACTTCCTGATGTCATCAATGTTCTGACCGTTCACGCCACTCAATGCGTCGACAACGTAGACAAGCTCCGGTCCGAGATGCCTAAGCATGTGCACGAAGCCAGTGGTGGTGTTGAAAGGCATGACCATAGCTGGGTCCTCGACGAGGCGGAGGGCCTGGGAGTGGAGGGTGTTCCAGAGCGAGTTGTCAGAGCCTCTGGTGCTGGGTGCAGGTGTGTAGATGACGGGTTCAACGGACGACAGCTCCTCGCCTGGTGTGCGTGCAGGTGTGCTGATGGCAGAGTACGAGTCGCCGAGCGAAGACGAGCCAGTGCGAGAGTTGGCGCGGGATTGTGGGCGCGAGCGCATCGACGGGGAGTATATGAGGACGAAGAGCTTGGTTCGGGAGAAGTCGGTGTCGGGAAGGTGGGAGAGGATGGTCTGCGAGCTGTTAGTTATGGGCACGTGAGAAGGAAGACGAGATGGAAGGCTTACAGCGTTTTCTTCGCGGTACGAGCCCTCGTCATCGTCTAACCGGTCCAGGCTTTCTGCGCTGACGACCAAGACTACCGTCTTCCTCCTTCCTCCGTAGCCCTGGCCTCTGCCTTCAGCCTTTCGTACGCTCTCCGCGAAGCTTCGTGCCTGCACATCGACTGCGGCATTGCTGTCCCGGCTCTGCGCCTCGACATTCCTCCTTATGGTGGCCTCCTCATTCCATCGAGAGTGGTCGCCAAAAGCTTCGTCTTTGTCTTCCTCGCGGATGGAAGCGAGGGCCGCACCAGCTGCAGCACCCGCCGCGGCCCAGCCCGCAGCTGTCTTCTTGCTCACGGTATCGAAGAGCTGCTGTGGTGATGGTGTGCGACGGATGACGCCTTGTGCGCGGCCAAGCAGCGTGCCATCGCCGTAGCCATAGCCCTCACCGCCCCCTTCGCCTACAGGGAACCCAGAGACATCGCGTGCTGCAGGCGCCCTGCCCTGTCGCTTTTCGTGGGCCGAATCTTCGCCATAGGAGAGATCGTCATCGGACGAGTAGTCGCGGCTGTCCTCGCGCGCACTCCAGACCCAGGCTGCGAGACCGGCGGTTGCGACGGTGACGGTGAGGATCAGAGGAACGTAGAAACCGAGGGCGCCGCGGTTGCGCGAGTTGTTCTGGCGGCGATCGTAGCGGTCGTAGTTGAAGGACGACATGGCGTCTCAGGTCATGGTATCGTGAAATGTTTCGTGGGCGGGTCGGGCGTTGTTTTGGTCGTCAGCCGCTGCCGCTCGGCTGCTTCCCTGTTGTTGACGGCCGGCACGCCAGGGCGAGTGGCTGGGAGCTGAAGCTTGCTTGCTTGCCTGACACGCGCTTGCAGGCCCTCCGGGAGTGTGCGCGAGTCAGCCCTCGAACTTTTGGTGGCCGCGGGGTGACTCTTACACCCCACACGCCTTTGTACCTGCAGCATCACTCAGCGGATATACGTCAATACCACCTTCCACAGGCGAAGCCAGAAATAGCGCCTTCTATTCAGAAAGGATCGAGATAGACTCAGAGCTACCATACTACGTCCATATCGCGACACCCACCGCACACACCACGATGCCTCACGCGACGAGTCTGCCCGCGCCGGGCTTCCAGGCCCTCATTCTGTGCGGACCTGGTGCTTCCTTCAGTACCTTCACATCCACGCCCAAGGAAATACCAAAGGCTCTGCTGCCCATTGCGAACAGGCCTATGGTCTGGTATCCTCTGGAATGGTGTTACCGCATGGGAGTCACGGGTATACATTACGCATATGTTTCTTCTATGATTTATATTAACACTTTTTAGACATCACAGTCGTGACACCGCCAGAGTCATTAGAAGCCATCGAGGCCGCCATGTCGCAGAACCCACACCTCACAACCCTCCCTTCGCCGAAGCCCGATATCCTTGCGCCGAAAGACCTCTCACATCAGACGAGTACGGGCGACCTCTTCCGGTTACCTGAGCTACAAAATGCGATCAAAGGCGACTTCATAATACTGCCATGCGATCTCGTATGCGAATTGGATGGCACAGCGTTGGCAGACGCATGGATGGTAGAACAGGGCGGATTCGCAGGAGCTAGTGGAGGACTAGATCACAACGGCAGCAAGATCGCCTTCGGCGCTGGCGGAGAGAAGCTCGGAAGAAGGGGCGGCATGGGCGTGTGGTACCAGGCCAAGGGAGAAGGCAGCAGGAAGAAGGAGGAGACGGATTTCATTGCGACAACACCGCTACCTACGTCCATCGTCCCTGTCCCGACAGACTCGCTGCGCCGCAACATCTCGAAACTCGTCTACTCCGTACCCACCGACACACTGAACGACATCACGGAGGAGAACAAGACATTTCCACTGCGACATTCCCTCATTCGCCAGCACGCGCGGATAAGAATGCTTACGACCCACCGCGACGCACACATCTATTTCTTCCCATACTGGGTTATTGAGATGATCAAGAAGAACGAGAAATTCGAGAGCATCAGCGAGGAGGTTTTGGGATGGTGGGCGAAGGCGGGCTGGCAAAACGGTCTGGGAGACAAGTTGGGTCTGCGGCAGATACTCCAGGGCGAGGACGAGGAGTCGGATCACGGGTCGCAGGTTGTCGAGGAAGAGATCGATGTATCCAAGTTCAGCACAACGTACTCCGGCAGTAACACAGAATCCGACTCGAAAGCCCCAGCAACACTCGCGTCAAGAGTCACAAAGTCATCCAGCATACCCGAATCCGCGAAATCGCTCACCGCAAACTCGAAACTTACGGTACCACCGATCCTTGCCTACGTTCAGCCGTCAGGACCAGCCGAACCGCTCATTCGCCGTGTAGACGACTCACATCTTCTGCTTACCGTCTCACTCCGCCTAGCAAAGCTGCAGTCGATCGAGGAAGTCGGCAAAGAAGCAGCATCCCCATTCGCCCACCAATCAAAGATCGTTCACAAGGAGTCCATCCCAAGGAAATGCCGCGTAGAAGCCGAGAACTCACTGCTGGCGGACAATGTCATCGTAGAAGAGAAGACCAACATCAAGGAAAGCGTCATTGGACCAAACTGCAAGATCAGCGAGGGTGCAAGGTTGTTGCGGTGTCTGTTGATGGACGGAGTCGAGATCGGACCAAACGTACAACTCACAGACTGCATCCTGGGCCGGAGATGTAAGATGGAGGGTGGCGATGCTAAAGATGGTGACAAGACTGTTCTTAAGGACTGCGAAGTTCAAGATGGACAGGTTGTGGAGTGGGGTAGTGAGTATCCCTTGACCCGTTTTGTGGGGAAGGCAATGCTAACCATTATGCAGCTGAGGCGAAGAACGAGAAGTTTATGCGCTTTGATGTCGGTGATGATGTGGGTAGTGAAGGGTTTGGCGGAGATGAGATGGACACATTGAACGATGATGGAGATGAAGGTATCCCGTTGCGGTAATCGTTGGCCCATGAGATGGACGAGGAAGCACGCGTCACGACAGTACGAATTGACATGCAACCGAACAAGCCGTGGCTTTTCACCCCCGAAAATAAGAACGATAGTGTGTGTCGTTCCGGGACCTTTCTAGCTCGACTACTCGTCTTGGCCATGGTCATAGGAAACGACGAATCGTTTGCTCATAGGGAAGTCTCGTCGATCTCGCTAGGATGTACAACATGCGAGATATACGTGACTACAACCTTTGGTATTTAAGTTGTCACGCTTTGCGCAACTCGCGGTCAACTCGCGGTCGCCTCAAGGTCCGTTTGCTACCTGGGTAACACATGAGCTTGGCGTCACGGGTACCCGCGTCCTGTCTTGCGTTCTTGTTTCGCCCTCACGTCAACATCTCTCACTTATTCAATTTTGTTCCAGGTCGCATCTGCACCATCATCTCTTATTCCATCCCTTTCACCACCTACGTAGCATGTCATACACCCCAAACGATCCCGATGCGGTTATACCAACAAGGCATTTTTGCGACGACTGCAAGCAGGAAACCACTTCTAAACTAGACTGCGCGAATCTGGAGAAGGTCGTCTGCTTCACCTGTCCTCGTCGAGATCACTTCAGCGGCGACTGTGACAATTTGATACGCACAAGCAACCCTCCGTCAAGTGTACCACCCTTTTGGTCCTCGCTTCCGCTGCGGCGGCTGTTCCCCACTATCAGCACGAGAAGTTCCACCACAGGGCTGCGTACCCAGTCAACGGATGGGGCAAATCCAACACCCTGTGAGAGCAAGGAATACACCGAAAGAAAAGATGTCGAGATACAACTACTGGACTGGCAAGATCGCTGCAACGATGCTTTGCGTCTGCTGCGAGTATGCGATCGCGCAGACGCCGCCGATGCTTTGGAACTCCAGCGTCCGGACCTTCGCGGATGGAAAGAACCCTCGGGGAAGGAGTACACACATGTACATGCATACGAAAAGGTTGCCAATATATTCAGCGACCAACTCCTGGTGACCCGGGATTCAAGCCGTAGACTAACACGAAGAAAACAGCATCTCAACGCGATGAAGAAGTATTGTCTTGCCATCTTTCACAGACTGGAAGCATTTGGCCTTGCGGAAGCAGGTAAGACGCCTTCCACCAAGTCAACAAATGATTGAGATCTGACTGTCTATCGCAGCAATGGACCCTATCACCCGCTGGCACATTGACCCCAAGTCTTCCACGATCGAGTCGGGAAGCCAGAAGATCTTATCCCACATCCCGACCACCGCCCCCAGTACGGCCGGCTCGATGGCCAACTTCGTAGACCTAATGCATACCCACATCACTCACCTATACGAAATGCCCGGCGACACCCTCTACTCCCGCTACACGATAGCTTTCAAGATCATCCAAACGGCCGTCCGCTGGAAGTTCACCGGTACAACCTTTACACCGAACAACATCCACGTTTCCGGCATTTCACCTGCAGAGACCACGCGCCTTTTCCAGCCGCTGGATACGCAGTTTAAGGGTATACTGGAGGAAGGGTTGATGAGGAAGGGGGGTTTGCCGTGGGATCAGGCGCTGTGTTTTTTGGAGACGCATGGTGTGGAGCGATTGTATGCGGGTTCTTGGAGGTGGCTGATGGAGTTGTTTCATTATGAGGATGGTGGGATGGCGCCGTGATGATGGGGGGTGTTTGGGCTGTGACGTGTGATGAGCTGCGTTGTTATTTTCTTGGATAGGAAGAGCTGGGATGGGGCTGATGTTTAGCTTGCTCGTCATTTGGTATTCGTGTTCACTTTGAGTTTATACTACTGTTCGGTAGATGTTCAGGGGACAGTCACGAAATGTGGGAAGATTGTAGCGTGTGAGGATGGAGATGTGATGACAGTTCAATCTAGATTGCGCTAGCGCCAGGTCCCTTCCCCGTACCTGCACCGCGAATCTCACCGCATATCACGCAATACACGATAGATCTAACGTCGGTTCTCCAATCGGCTTCAAATATGAGGTGGATCTCAAGCTACGTTCGACGAGTACAAGGTCAGGTTGTCTACGCTAGGCTGCCCGGCACGACTTACCCAATGCGGACAAATATCACGGAGAGGAGAAGAAGGGGTAGGCAGCAATCAGTGCTCAACGGGGCCAAAGTAGTACTCAGGCGCAGTTTGCTCGATGTATATGAACAAAGGTATCTGGCTCTAAACATTAGATAATTGACTCACGAATCCCCCAACTTCTCCTTCAAACCCAATACCACACATACATCACCAGCCAGTAAGTAGCGACAGCACCTGAATCAATTCAGCGTCGACTAGGAAACACATACTTACCATTCTATAGTGTCTCAGAAATACGTACCTCTCACCATTATCAAGGGCGCGGGCAATGAGTACATCCCCATCCCCGAGGGCGAGAGCGCCATCGTCGCAGACTTCCACTCGTAAGTCCACCAACCACTGCACCTCACAACATCAACATCCCCACCTCTTCTCCAAACCAAACTCATAGTCTTCCCATCTAACGCACCCCCCAGCATCCGCACCCAAACCACCGACTCCCCCACATACCTGACCTCAGGCTTCTACCGCATTAAAGCCGGCCCCACACGCAACATCCCCACCTACGACTACGAGGAGACCAAGTACGTTCTCAACGGCCAAATCGACGTATTAGACGAGGCGACCGGCGTCACACACCACCTTGTTGCGGGCGACTTTGCTTTCTTCCACGTTGGCTCTAAGGCGCAGTTCTCGAGCAAATCGGGTGGAACGGCTTTCTTTGCGGTTACTAGGCCGATTATCACGCAGCATCCGGGGTTGAAGGGGAGGGAGGAGAAGGTGTTGAGTAAGTTGTAGGCGTGGATATGGGCTATGGGAGGGATCGTCTAGGATCGAGTATGGCGGCGGCGAATGATGACGAGGATGGCTTTGGCGGGCGCAATCTCGTGACATGTATTGCTGCTAGGAACTAAAGGAACGAGTTGTCGAGTTCGATGAAAATAGATGACGAATAATGGACCACATTACCCCAATGCTGAAGTACCGACGAAAACGCCTCAGTACCTCAGTATTGGGGTAATGGGGTCCCTCGTTTGTCATTTAATCTCATTAATGGAACTCATTCCTCGATGCCAAAGCCTCTATCGAATTCAAAATCCAGCACAAAAATGCAGTGATACATTTCTTAATACTCTGGCGCCAATGTATAGGTGTCAAACCTCGTGAATGGACAGCGCACCATAGAAGAAGACGTTGGCCTGTCGAGGAAGCTGCGATATTCCCGAGATAGCTCCGAGATATTATCGTGCTCTGGCGGGGTCCAGACTGATATGCCGCTAACGTCATCTGGACCCTTCGATCGCGACAATCTTTCATGTGTACGCCATCATCTCAACTCATGCATCGTGTATTCTCAACACCACGAGGATGGCGCAGTCGCCTCTATCCGGCGTCATGATGCCGCCACGCTTCAACATCGAGTTGGACCGTACGGACCCCGACGTTCCCTTCCGCGCATCGCAGTCACACATCCATCACACATGGGCTCGGACGTTCCATTCGCGGCCGGAGCTCTACATCCGGCCGCAGAGTCTTCAAGAAGTGCAGAAGGTTGTTAACCTTGCGAGACGTATGCGAAAGCGCGTAGTTACTGTAGGATGCGGACATTCACCCTCAGATATAACATGCACGTCGGCATGGATGATCAACCTCGACGACTACAAGGAGGTGTTGAACGTGGACAAGGAGCGCAAGACGATGACTGTGCAGGCTGGAATACGCCTACACAATCTCAACCTACAAGCGAAGAGCCACGGCTTGACTATGCCGAATCTCGGATCCATCGACGACCAATCGCTGGCGGGAGCGATTGCGACAGCGACGCACGGCAGCTCATACAACCACGGCCTCCTCTCCGACCGCGTCCAAAGTCTGCGTATAGTGCTGGCGAACGGCCAAGCCGTACGCTGTTCCCCCCAGCAATCGCCGGATCTCTTCCGGGCCGCGCTCGTCTCGCTGGGCGCATTAGGCATTATCGTCGAAATCGAGTTCCAGATGATCGAAGCGAACAACGTCGAATGGATACAGACTATACTACCGATTGAAGATGTTTTGGCAGATTGGAACAACGGGCTCTGGACATCGAGCGAGTTTACGCGAGTATGGTGGCTACCATACATGAAGCGTGCAGTCGTATGGCGGGCGGACAAGACAGACAAGGCACATCGGCAACCGGAGTACAACTGGTATGGCGGCAGCGTCGGCTTCCACACATACCACATTCTCCTCTGGATATCGCAGTATGTCCCGCGCTTCCTGCCTTGGGTGGAGTGGTTCGTCTTCGGCATGCAGTACGGTTTTAAAGACGGCGCTCTCATCTCTGCTGTTGGCGAGCAGCGCACGGAGCTGTTGATGAACTGTCTCTACTCGCAATTCGTCAACGAATGGAGCGTGCCCCTCGACAAGGGTCCCGAGGTACTGTCGCGATTGACAGACTGGTTGCACGGCGACGAGCAATCTTCCGGCATTCCCTTCAGCACCAAGGGTCTCTACGTCCACTCGCCCATCGAAGTCCGCATCGCAAACACCGTCAACCGAGAACCGCGTCCATTCCTGGACACCTCATATCCTGATCAACCTGCTCTGTACCTCAACGCAACGCTCTACCGTCCCTACGGCCAGGACCCCCCTTGCCGCGAACGCTACTACCAGGCCTTCGAACACCTGATGAAAGAGTACAACGGCCGACCTCACTGGGCGAAGAATTTCCAATCCGTCGACAACGCATACCTCTCCTCCGTATACGGCAACGACCTAGACGAATACAACCGCGTCCGCAACGAAGTCGACCCCGAAGGCATGTTCCTCGGCGCCTGGCACCGTCGCACCATCCTCCCTCCCAAGACCGACCTCCCCCTTCTACCTCTCGAAGAAAAGGAAGTCGTACGCCGCGACCGACGCACGGGTGGAGTTGACTGGATAGGCGAGCAAGCCCGGTGGTTCGATGGCGGTGCTGATGTGTTTGAGAAGGCGGGCAGTGAGTCTGGCGAAAGCTTCGATTACATGGCCGGCGCGGAAGCGGAGAGTAGTGTGTTGTTGGAGAGCTTGAGCGATGAGCTCATTGTTACAGAGGAGACTTATGAGAATGTTACGGAGAGCCGGAGGAGAGAGGGGACTGAGGAGTATGTTACGGGTACGAATGTGTTCAATAAGATGTAGATGTATATACTAGGAGGGGAAATACACCACTCAATGAAGATATGATAATGATGTATCAGTATTGCGATGCTTGCTTGTCTCCATTGCCGTGATGAATAAATGTTGTATCTCTAGGGTGGCTTGCGTGCCAGTGCGCCCAATCGGGTAAGGCGCATCCGTGGCTTCCCATCGTCATACTTCCAACATTGACGCGTCTGCCACCATCACTCACGTTCACTACAGTCAGTCGAAGACATGGTGACTATCAACGAAAAATTGTCGTCGACTGCATACCCCTCTCCCTGTGGCGAACGTCGCGATCGACGATAATATATCGAGCGGATGGACCCGTCGGCAAGAAGCCGGCTCCAGAAGTGAACATGGGCAACAGCGTCTCACTCTTGGATAGGGGAAATTGCTGCACTGCGTTCTTCTTCATAAACCTCGTTGTGTCCCATCGTCACTCGACTAACAGCATTACAGTGTTGATACATGTTCGGTCGACCGTGTACTGGCGATAACACAGCACGTCCCCGGACATTGGGCTTTGCCATGGAGTATGTCCAACTTTGCTCAGCACTCAATCTCCTCATGCCCGAAGATTGGCCCTACAAACTAAAGGCCTGACGGATGAGGAGACCCGTAACGAGGACTTATATCACAGTTCGACGCCACATGCAGCCACCCCTTACGTCTTCTCGGCTGATGGGCGTTATTTCCGCTTGCGAGATCATGACCCATAAGTAATATATCTCCTACCTTGGCAGCCACGTTCTGAGCTTGGCATGCAGCCACAACACGAGGAAAGCTTGGCCGATTCCAGAAGGTGGCCGACATAATTGCTTGGAAGTCTGCTTGCAGGGACATGGGAGAAAAGGAAGTCAATGCAGGGAGTTCAAGGCGAACGATATTTGAACGAGCGATTAGATTGACACATTACGGACTAGTTCGAACGACCCGCATCGCCCGTATCTACAGTCTAATTCGGACAGCAACCGAAGCGCCGCTATTGTCTGTTCTTGCACACCGACTGCTCATCCGATTATCCGCGACCCATCCTGACTTAGGAAGTCTGCACATAGATGTCCGAGCTGCCAGAAGACTGGTAACCCTCAGTGGCGACGATCTGGTAGTAGTGCTGGCCCAAGTTCATGCCGTAACGAGCCCAGGCGTTGAAGTGGTTTTGCATGTTGACGCTGCCACCGACGCGCTTTTGCGTGCGGACAGACCTGAGAGTTTGTTAGTGTGCGTCCGGCATCCACATGTTGCTTGCAGACTTACCAGTACTGCTGAAAGGTCCTTGTTCCATCGATGGAGGGCTGGTTGGTACGGGTGGAGGTGGAGACGTCGTAGGTACCGCCGTCAGTCGTGAAGCTGCCCTTGCGCTGGGATCCGCTGCTGGGGTTGTAGGTGCCGTAAGACTCGATCACGTAGTACTCCACAAGCGGGTTGCGGGTCCAACCGTAGACGGCAAGGTAACCGTTACCCTGAGGCTGGAAAGATCCGCCGTAGTTGATCGTGCTAGGATGGGGATCAGCAAATGATGAAGCTTAGTACTTCCAGATGACATACCGGCCAGTTCCAGGGTTCCATCCCTTGCCACCGACGAAGTTGCCGGTGTTCCTCCAGGTCACGGAGTACCTGCTGCCCTCTCCCATTGTGTACTGAGCGGAACCACCGCCATCAGTCCACCACGAGTAGAAGTACCCGTTGTTGTAGCCCTCAGCGCTGGGAGTGGACTGACGCTTCTCAAGAGCAGTTGCGTTGCCATCGTCACGCTCAGTGAGGAAGTCAAAGGGAGCGGCGAGTACGCTGGTGGTAGCCACAGCGGCGAGAAGGAGGGACTTGAAAGAGACCATGTTGAGCTGAGTTGGAGATCTGTGCTGGATGCGGTGATGATACTGAACTGCGAGAAGCAACGAGCTTATATGTCAACTCCGAGGTGGAGATGAGCCTGAATCGCTGGAAGAAGTCGCCTTTGGTGGTCATGAGGTATCATCTCGCCTCTGTCTACATCCGTCTTGGTGTCAACGACGATGGTGTGTTCCAGTCCTCTCATTTCGAAAAGCACGCCCAGCGCACTGACTAGAACGGCCTAGGAACCACGAACACGGCAAGCTGCACCGTTCATTGACCGGCCTCGGTAATCATGGAAAAGATAGAAGAGCACAAAGATCCATGCCCCTTGCACCCATCTGCACGACACCACAAAGATAATATCGCTGATCCGGGCTTTACGCGCTTTCTCAACCCGGTTCACAGGATGTTAATATAAAAGAACGCCACTAGGGTACAGGTGGTCGCCTTACCCCACACTCCTCGGAAGACAACGAAGCTTGGAAGGAACACCCGCCGCGCTAATGTCATGTAGGCGATGATATTGTTAGCGACAGTGGCGCACGTGATGAAACATTGGGCGCTCATGGCGGGAAGCCTCGGCAAACTCAGGATAACCACCGGATGAAGAGGATCTGCCAAGATGTATAGTAGCCGGCTTTTCTACCGATCCTGGTAAGACATGCCAAGCGCGGTGGGTATCTTGAGCGGAGATGATGTGTGGAGTGCATGAGTGGATCTCGAGGTCGGTGAGTACATGAAAACAATGTTACTATGCACTACATGAGCGCATAATGGTGGTGTTATTACTGACAGGTCAAGGCACCCCTGGAAGTGTATCGAGGTTCGCGAACTCTTCACAGATCACACATTCGGTGTTTAGGAGATCATCACTTCGCGAACTCTCATTCTGCCTTGATCGCCTGTACTGAGTTAGGCGATCGACACGATAGTATTTGACTAAAAACATGGACTACAGAATGAACTGCTGGTGCAACACCATTCGAAGCGACCATCAGTATACAGCACTAACGGCTTCGCGTACAGCATCGGGGCACTACGGCTGCGCTTGTAGGTCGCGCAACTTGCCCAGTTCCCTAGGTCCAAGACCGCCGAATGCCTCATATTAGCTGGCAAGCCGGTGGCATCTAGATGTCGTACGAATTTACCCAGCCATGTCCTTGATGGCGCGTAGATCAGGGTCGGTCCATCCGATGGCTATCACGGCATCATCGCGGAAGAAGGAAACATGAAGGACGTAGGCAGGGATTGCATCCGGTTTACAGTACTACACCACGGTGGAAAGGAGAATCTGCATCCTGGTGTGTGGCAACATCAACTTCAGCCGCTGCTGTATACCGATGTAGATTCTTGTCCCTGTGTGACCAGTGTGGCTGCTGCTATGAACGATATCGGCCTTCCAAGATCTTGTGTTGTTTCATCTGCGCGTTGTGGATATCAGATCTTGCCGAGTACGATTCCCGGAGCCATCTCATGATCCACCAAAGCTCCTGCTTACCACCGACCCCTGACAAGCCTTGTTGTCGTTTGCCACACCGCGGCTGCGCAGGCAATTCGAGCTGGGAGATCAGCTATCCGATTCGTACGAGCGAGGTGTGCAAAATTTCGCAGTGCAAAATTAGATGGCGTGAAGATCTAGCGGAAGGATTTCTGTACCGTCATACAGCGCTGATTAGCCGTCTCGCAAAGAGGCTTGAAAAGACAACTGTATCGAATTCATGTATGATGTACTACCAGAGCGTTACATGCACGGTACATAGTCAACACGAACGTCAAGGTGACTCTAAGCACCGCAAAAGACGACATGGAGGATGTTTGCATTTTCTCATTCGCTCAGACTCACTTCTCAAGATACGAACCACCGAGCCTACCCAAAGCCCTGCCTAACGTAGCCATGATGCCTTCAGAAGCCATCGGTTGCTGTCCCACTTCCTCACGGCCCAATCGATCCCAAGCCGCACACACATCGCCCATCTCGACCTCGTCTTTCTCATCGAAGCTCAACTGAGCAACAAAAGACGCAACAGTTGTTGTACCAAGCTTTACTGTGTGCTGAAGAATGCTACTGCTCAGCACACTATGTGCTGTGTATAAAGACGGTAGAGCATGAAACCCTCGCTTCTTTCGCTCGATGTTGACAAGCTTCAGGAACGCGGTGACCACGGCGTCTCGAGTAACCTTTCCGCTTTCCTCGGCCTCCATGACTTCAAGGTAAGAGGAGAGGAGCTCCGTACCGAGACGTATTATACTCACATCGGGACCACCGTTGGAAGCTGCTTGAACTTGAGGACTAGTCACCACTTTCTCCGCAAGCTCTCCATTGGAGAGATCGTTCAGTGCTGTGTCGCAAAGCTCTTCTTTGCTGCCTGAGCGTGTGGTTGATTGGGGACTTCCTTGCTGCGTCGCAACAACTTCGCACTTCTCAGTACTGACCGATGCAGCATCGTCCGAACCGAAATTCGAACCTTCCGTATGGCTCGAGAGCTCTTCGCGATCACACAAGTCGGATACTTCGGAACCCTCTAAACCCGCGTTGTTCACATCGTGAAGCCTTTCGGGGATGCCGAGGTCTGACTGGGCGTCTTCGATGCGACTGTCAATACTCTCGGAGGTCTTGTCATGTGCTCTACTGAAGGGCTCGAGGTAACCCTTGCTTGGAGAAGCGACCGAATCAAAGTCTGACCCGCCGTCATCCTTGATAGTATCGACATCATGTAGAAGTTGGTCGTAGGCGATACATTGGATCACACCACCCGTGCTCGCTAAGAATATTCGACAAGGAAATATATTTCCAAGTGAAAGATTGGTGCTGGTCTCGTCGAGACCTTGATCCACTTCGTGGTATATAGCACGGCCAATTTGCTTGGGTGTGTAGTACGGCACAAGCGCCCGCTCCTGATGTGTATCCTCCGACGGTGCTTTCGTCTTTTTCTGGATATCAGCAGCCGTGAATGGAAACTTGGATGTGCATACAGATGCTGGGGCGTCGTCAATAGTGGCGTCCTCGAGCCGCGTGAAGATTGATGCCCCTGTCGCATCCGGCTTTCGTGACAAGGCTTCCTCAAAAGCCTTGCTCGATGCTGCGGCGGTCGTAAACGTAGGACTACCTAGCTCTTTCACGAAGGCTTCGCTGAAAGCCAATAAAGTTGGACTTTCATCCTCAATGTCCTCAACATCCTGGGGGAAAGAAGATCCATACTCGTTGTTGAAAACGTCAGTGATGTTTGAGCGTTCACCAAACGTGGCAACGCCAGTGCGAGCTTCGAAGGTGAAGCTATCGTTGAAGCTACCCAGGGACTCTAAAGGCAGTGCGGACAACGTAGGCGAAGGACCTGAGGATTGACACCCAGTGACATCAGTGCTCGATGGTGGTAGCTGCTGTAAGGCAGTTGAGGTAGATGAAGCAGCGTCGATGTCTTCAGAAGACATAAAGCTGGAGGGCTGAGGAGTAGAAACACCATCATCCCGTGTCGATGTTGCGCTGTCCTGGGTAGGTATGAGTGGAATGGCGGGCGCGTCGAACCGCTCAGGCTCGATAGTATCGACTAGTGTATACTCCACGTTACTCGGAGCAACCTCCTTAGTAGCTGATGCACCTTGTCTCTTGGCAGCTCTCTTCGCTGCCTTCTTTTGTCCCTTGGTCAGAGCTAGGAGAGGCATACTGGCGACGACAGGGTGTGTGTTTGTATACGAGAGCCCTCTTATTCTCTTGAAGTAGCCTGCAGTAGGAGCGTGACGGTCTATTTGAGGCAGAAGAGTCGTAAGTGGTAGGTAGGTACCGCAGGTGTAGTTGAACCGAGAACGTATTATCACCGCGTCTGAAGTACGTAGGTTGTGTTTCTGCCTCTTGCGGACGAGGCAGGGAGTGAATGTAAGTATAGCAACTCGGAGGTGGCCATATCTGCGAATACTTGGCAAAGGCGCGATCGTACGCACATGAGAGTGGTGAAAGTCCAATACACATGATGTGAATCAGACCCTGGAATCCATCACTCGGGTAATGACACGCCATTGCAAACAATGTGGGCGACATATAGATATTTGGTCCTGTTCATTTTTTATGTAGCGTATATTTGTAGTAGAGATCTCGTAGTGAACGCAAAAGAATGAATGCGTCGCGTTTCTATAGGCCAACGGGCGCCTTCTACATCGGTCCGGTCTAATGTAGCAAGCGTTTGGCTGACATGGAGTAGTTGTGCTAACACTCTCGCAGTTGGACGTTAGCAAGCTTTGCGAATATCTATTCGTGGTCTCGATTATTCCGGAAGATGATTTTAGCATCGCTTCCGGACTAGATGTGGATATGCTAGAGACACTTCCTAAACACGAAGTATTGATTAGCATATCGAAAGGAAACCTGAAATTCTGCAAGACGTCATGCTTGGGGATGAAAGCTTCCAATAGTACATGCGCGAGATACGTTATCGAAACCGAGTGGTAGTGGTTGCCCCTCACCGTAACAGTCATATACCTAAGCAGGTAACGTTGGCACGAGACGAGCAAATTGCGGATAGACTGATGGCATACAACCTTGGAGTTTGTTTTCAGGAATCATCGCCACAAAAGGTTCCGCGAACGCGTTCTTACGATGGAAGTGGCGTGGCATTTGACCCTGAGGGCTCAAGACACTACGCGCTAACAGTAAGGCCCGATGACAGGAAGCAACACTATACCACAACCTGACCCGGACCGAAACAATTTAATATCGAAAGAACGCGATGGAGTCTAAGAGGCTATCGAAATCTCAGTCATGGTGATCGATACGGTTTCAAGATTCAAGATGGCTGGGGAAGGTTTTCTTATTCGGCGCGTCCTAGTGAGCACTAGTAGTCCCTAGCGCGACGCGTCCGTATGAACGCCTGCAGGGATCCAAAAGTTCTTCATATAAAGACATGACGATATCTTTATTATTTCTGCAGTCTTCTAACTCATACAAAATGTCCAATCCAGTTGTTGTCGAGGTGAAGAAAGAGGTGGAAGAGGACACTTACTCATATGACGGCACAGTGTACAAAATCAATGGAGAACGTCGTCTCGGCATTGATAATATTCTCGTCACGCTTTTCAACATGAACAGCAAAGAGATGCGCAGACACGCACTATTCTGGGATGTGATTTCCCCTGCGGACTTGGGCAAGGTAGAACTTTGGGTTCAAATCAAGATGCTGAAGAAAGGACTGGCAAAGCTGAAAGCCAGCGGCGTGGCAGAAAATCTGGCAAGTACCGTACTCTATTACTTCAGTTCAGATCTAGTTTCTTTAGTCGATTCGTTTTACTGACAATCATTGCAGCTGCCAGTATATCCGAGAAAGATATTCGAGGAACTTGCGACAGAGTGGCACACCACGCATGGTTGGCACATTACTCCTCCATCTACAATCACTCCTCCATCTACAATCACTCCTCCATCTACAATCACTCCTCCACCCACAGTCACTCCTCCATCTACAATTACTCCTCCATCTACAATTACTCCTCCATCTACAATTACTCCTCCATCTACAATTACTCCTCCATCTACACCACCTGCAGCAAACGACCTCAAAAGGGAGCTCGATGAACCCATCCCAGACGACCATGAGATTCTGTCCAGTAAGAAGATCAAATCGGAAGAGTTCACAAGCGACGGTGTCGACGCAGCCATACCCTCACATGCAGGGGAGTATGTGAACAGTTATTGGGGGAAGCAACCCGAAAACCCATGGACTCCAGAACGCAGCGAGGATGAGAAAAGCCTCATGAGCCAGCACGAGGCGTGCCGTGCCAAGCAGACTTTCGTTGCGGCTATGGGTACTTACTGGATTCAGTGCCCACTCATTGAGCATAAACACCCAGAACTAAAAAGTAGTCTGCGCATGGTTGTTCAAGGCCTTGATGACCATACACAGGAACGTGGCTTGCTCGAGGCCCACCTCAACCTTGGGCTATTGAAAGGCACCATGGTTATGGGGCCTGGCCTTGACATAGTCCAAGATTGGTGTTACAGACACCAAAGCCAGCGTTCAAGAGATGGTGGCAATGGGAAATGCAGGATTGACAAGGACACAGAAAGACTTCGAGACGTTCTAGAAGAGCTCAAAAGAGTAAATAGAATACCTATGGACGCGATCATTAAATCACCGCCTCTCGACTTACGAAAGCCACTCGACCTCGACTGCGAAGCTCGACTATACGAGAACAGACCATCCATTGGTGGACCCATTCGGATCTCTGGCAATACCGCGCATCTCGAATTCCGGGTAGATAGTTTGTATTTCGAAGGCAAGATCAACCTTCCTATGATCAGCGACACGCCTGTAAAGATTTCTGGTCACAGAATCAAAAGCGATGATTCTTGCACCGTTGAGAAGTGGTTGGATTACGATACGTCGAAGGTCGAATATGGGGCGGTGTGGAACGAGTTTTGACCGACAGAAGATTTCGTTTGTTGACCGATGTTAATGGGGTAGATTTGTTGCTAGTTATCAGAGCAGGCGTAAGAGCAGCAGTGCGCTGGGCGTGCCGCGCGATCTTTAGCCATGTAAATATTCTTTTCCAGCCCTACTGTTGACCGCTTTGGACTGTTGCTTTGTCAGGTATCAATGTACACCGCAACGCGTGTCATCGCGATCTGTGGCTGTGGTGTGAAAGACCCTGCAAACCTTACAGACAGCGCATTGTTAGCGTGTTAATGCGCGGATGCATCCTTCTCTATGCCTGGGTCAGCCCGCCGGGTCCGCAGTGAATGCTGACACTTTGCATGTAACAGTGCCGTCGCTGCTAGTGTGCCCAGGTGTTGAGAAGAAGAAGCTGCATGCATGACGCGAGTCGGAACTTCAAGCTGCTCAATCGTACCTAGGTATCTTCAACGCCCACTTCAAATGCGCGCGGCAATAGGTACTGCGAGCATCGTGATGCACTATGCCACCTAGTTAGATCCGGACATGGAGTTGACAGTTTGCTGAACCTTCGCGCTAGGCTCGGGACGACTTGCGGAGATTCTGTGGAAAGGTGCCTGACTGCTGAGAGCGACTTGTCGCTTTCAGATGGCCGGCGCTTGTCATTGGTCGGCGAGCAGCGGGTTCCAGATGCCGCAGTGTCAGCTAAGGCCAACACGCGTCTCGGCAAGCATCCCCACCTGCACCCTGCATCCGCTCGCAGGGGTATCGCCATGCACCCATATACATAGATAACTAGATATGCTGCCACCATGGACAGCATCGACACACAAGCGTTATTCCCATCTTGCCATTACTTACTGCAGGCCTAAATTCGCAAACTCAACTCCCATCAACAATTCCTTACGATAATGGCCAAACCATTGTCTGCCGTAAAGACCTGGGCCGGAATGACCTATTCATACAATGGATCGCTTCACCCGCGCAAACGAATGCAGATAAACAACTGCTACCTTGAGCTTGAGGTGGATGTCGTGCAAAAGCTTATCAACGATAATCTCGGAGTGGAGGGCGTTTCGGAGGAATGGCTTCAGGCGCAGTTGTTGCTCCGCGGTTCCGGTCGTCCCGGTAAAGAACTTCGTTGGACGAAGCGCGACATGATCTCGCGTCTCGTGCAGATCATCCCAATACTAGAGGACAAGTACTACATTGTCAGTATCCAAATATCCGTATTTGTTTCCCATCATACTAACCCATCTCCAGGGCGCCTTGGAGCATTCCATTGAAGTCTTCCACAATTTAGAAGAGGATTGGGCCAAAGCATATCCTAGGCACCCAGCTTCAAAAGAGTATCTCAAGAACAAAACTCCACATGACGCCTCCCGGTGCTGGTGCTTTGCAACGCAGCGAAAGAATCTACTCATGGAAAAAACATTGCCTGCCACAGTGACAAAACGGTCACGACCCGACGCTGCAGAGTATGGCGAAGCCTCTGGCCATCCTCACAAGAGACAAAGGCTCCCGTCGCCTACCTCTGAGCCGGAGATCGATAACAGGGAAAACATACTGTCGTGGATCGCGCAAACTTCGGGCGCGCCCCCAACACCGCCGGAGCACGTGGACCATCTACCCCGTGAAGTTTTAGACCCCTTATCTCAACTCTATATGAGTTCCATCTTGGCAATCGATGAAGAGCACCGGAGATTTAAGCTACATAACTACATGAGTTATGTGGCAGGAACCTACATGATTTTATGTCCGTTGCTTCAAGCGAGGCATCCGGATCTCATTGGGCAGCTCAGCATCACAATCAAATATTTGGGTGCTTCTTCGCTTACATCTGGCATACTCGAAGCCTACTTCAACTTTGGCAAGTTTACTGGCCCGGCAATCCTTGGTCTCGACGATGATCGCATCGCTGAGTGGCTTTGGGCTACGGCGACAGAAAGACGTGGCAGACGCGCTCCCCCTTCTTATGAGAACGACGAAGTCGAAAGACTATGCGAGGAAGCACTGAACTTGGCTATGGAGAGAACACCAGAACGCAAACGGGCTAACGTGGAGACTCGACATCTTAGAGATCTTCCTGCTCTTGATATCGATACTACCGCGTTACCTCAGCTTCACTTCGACGCTCGGCTTGATAATCCGACTGGCGAATTCTATGACCCAGGGACGTATCGCATTGCTCAAGGAGATATCAGATTTGAAGAGCGTGGCTTGCGTTTCAGCGGAATGATCAGGATACCGGAAATCGCTGAATGTGACCTGGAGTTTGAAGGCTTGAGGGTCTTCCGCAGAAATGACGGTGACCTCCCGCAGAAGTGGAAAGATGTTCCTACAAGCAAAGTACATCACTGATGGAGGACGCGCACCCACAGATCCTCGACGTTCACACGCTGGGGTTAATCTACTCGAATGAATCTGGTTTTTGGGTTTTGCTTCAAGTAACTAGATTTCTCTGACCCCGATAAATCACGATCGGGAGTTGCGCATGACCTGGCTCGGACGTGTACTACACCCGGTATCTGCCGTCTTGTCCCGTGCATTGGGCGCGCTCGTCGCCGAACTTTAGGTTGGGCTCGCTTTCGGCCCGCTGCACTGACCCCGCTTTCCCGCGCGTCGCCCGAGTTGATACCTTGACACCGATCGGCCACACATAGCGCCTATAGAAGCAAAGCACCAGATCTCACCGTATGCTTACATATTTACTCGTTCACTCCCACACCCCTAGTTTGTTGAGTAAATGTTGAGGTCGGAAGAGCAACGTTAGCACTTGATATGGTTTTACAAGCAAGTAGCATTCGTCAAGCGCAGAATGTCAACATTCGCCGCATTCACGCCAAACTTGAGAACTGCACAGTTCTGACTGACATCAAGACGTGCACGGCTAGTTAGAGTTCGGGAAACTCTTCATAATGGCTTTAGACCCATGTTCGGCGACTTGAGCACCGGCAGGCCGCTGCGCACGTCTGCCGTTATACCTGTCGCGGAGATCTGATGGAGAGCCGGAAAAAGATAACTTCAAGACATGTAAGCCCACGGCCATTCCGCTCGTCAAATCTTCCTGTATTAATACACTCACTTGCTCCACCTTTGTTCTCCGCTTCCGCAAATCGATCTGAGACTACTGCCATCACGTGACGGCCATTTTCACTGCGGATCCGCTTGCAATAATACTACTCCAAGTTCGCTCTCAGAACTAATTTACCCTTCGTCGTATTGCACATTCAGTCATCGCTTCACAAACCTTGTTTTCTCACCTTCGCACTATCATCATGCCTGCTGCAACCCAATCTCTCGAGACCATGGTTCTCCAAGCCCATCGCGCGAAAGGCGTACGCTATCCGACAGCCTCACAGAAAGAATGCTTCAAGACATGGTACTCTTATGCGCTCCGTCAGGGTGAAGTCACGAAGACTACCCCGAAAGCTATCGAGGAGCATGGAAAACATCTCAAAGAGATCAAGGAAGCGGCGCCAGGTGGGCGAACTTACCTTTGAGCTGGTATGTTTCTTAGCCTGCACAAAAGCTTGCAACTGGCTTACTGACACGCTTAGACAGGGTTTTGACAGGTGTTTCAGATTCGCGTTCGCACCATTTGGCGTCATCAGTCTCTTTGCGAGTGTTTAGCTTTGTTATACTAGCAGTGTGCTGATAATAGTTCGATCTTAATACTTTCTTTGCGCGTTACACCAAATCCTTTTGTAATAATCATGTCTCCATAGCGAGTCCCAGTCAGTTTGACGGTCTAATTCACCATCTGTCTCCATATCTTTATTGTCCGGGCCTGGATTTCCTCATTTATCACCGCAGTTTGCCAGGTCGCCGATCGTTACCTGGTCTAGCCCCACTGTGGATACTAGCGCGCAACTGCGTCTTTCGACGCCGTTCGCAATCTCGTACACGCTTTCACCCTCATGCTACCATGCCTTTGTCTTCCTGCGCTGCACATGAATTGTTGACTTTTTCCATAACCAAACCAATCAGCTAATCACTGCATAAGGCCAGGCGTCGACCAGATTGCGCACTTTCCTTCGCTCGCCTTGTCCTAGCCGCTGCTTGCAGCTGGCACGCCCATAACAATCACCAAGCTGCGGTACAAACGGCACCCCATAACGCGGCTTCAGTGGCATCTCCAGGCCCTGTATTCATTGTGAACACTGGATTACATATATGTGCTTCGCCGCGTACCTACCGTTCACTGTTCCGACGATCGTTTCTATGCTCCGACTGCGAGGCCATGCATCTCAAACACGTCTCTGCCTCCAGCTCAATCTCTGGGCATGATGGCTGTCATGATACCATCTCTTCCTGAAGGCTGCAACACCACTACGAAGGTTGTAAGCAGTACCTCAATGCGCATCGGTGTTCCTAGAGAATGTGTCAAGACATCACGACGCTCACACCTCGGTTGCATGGCTGGCTCACCTTCACCTTCACTAAACCGCACCCCAACGATGAGATGGCGCGCTATTGTACCACTACAAGGGGCAAAAACTCTGATCGGCGACCGCAACTACCAATAGAAGCTTCAGGATAACGCATGTGAAACGTGTGTGTATACTGCGAGGGAGAGGCGCGCGACCTGTCAACCATGAGTGTGAAATCTCGTCCCAGCCACTTTAAAAAACCTCCGCTACTCACTTCTACGAACCCAAACCCACTGAGAACCGCAGCTTTCTCCTGCTCAACTGCAACCCTCACATCCGCTGCCTGGTCAGAATCAGCCTCAACCACAGCATTGCACATACACCGGCGCCCGCGATACAGTTTCCACAGCCGGAGGAAAGAACAGCATCTACGAAAAGATGAGCGCTACTCACCTTGCCTCCGTATATATCCCAGGACAGCTTCGACGCCTCGACGACCTGCCGCCCGAGCTGATTGTTATGATCGCGAGGAATACGAATGACGCCTCCGACATCTCATCGCTACGTCGCGTGAACAGGTTCCTGAGCGCGGCCATCCCCGCATGGGTTATCTCCGAGACGACTTTCTACATAATGCCTATGTCTAGTAGCATCTCGAGGATGGCACAAGCAGTGCAGATCCAGAGCACCAACCCTAGTTGCAACCTAGGACGTGTTCCGGCGGTAATCTTCGAGAACGTATGGCCGACACCGCCTGCTGAGTTTGGGCTCCATGGAGAACTCACCCAGCACGATGACTGGGAGGCCGACAGTGACGATGAGCTGCCGCCAAATTCGAACACCTATCTCCACTTCATAGATGGGTGCCATGAAGAGCGCGACTCTGCCCAGTTACGCGACTCCCTGGCGCACTCACTCGGAAGCTTTCATGGCGTCAAGGAAATGATCCACACCCCTGGTTTCCACAATTCTCGACCAGCGCAGGAGCGACCCTCCAGTGAGGAGCTCCTAGAGACAGCGCTGCTATATAAAGACCACGATCCGGAGGATTTTGAGGACGAGATGTGGACTCGCCGCCGCATGATGTTCGAGCCATATCAAGGAATCCTCGATCAAGCGTGCGCTAAGATGTTCGATCGCGCTGTTGATGCCGTTCTCCGCAACCCGATGCGGAAAGATAAACTGAAAGTCTATATCGAAACGCATTCAATCTGCGCACTGGGGGATGTCGATCCAAGCGCGTCACCAATACCCGCCAGTCAGCTCGGAGATGTACTTGCGATAAAGTATATTGGTCATTGGATGTCAATACTGGATGCCATGGTCTTCGACTTGGAGATTCTGCACAATCAGAAGATCAACACAGCATCGCACTACGCGGGTATAACGCATCTCTCGATCAGCGGAGATGGACTGGGCAATGAGGGTTCGGTACACATGGGGCTCTTGGGCGGCCCATCACACTCTCCCGACTGGTCACGCTTGGAGACACTACACTTCGACGATACTCAGCAGAACGACAACTCCGCCGATTTCCTTCGCCAGCAGAAGTGTACCCTCGAACTTCACAACGTTTACTGGCTCGGAGACTCGATCCAACGTTTTTCCAAGGGTTCGTCACTTCGAGATGTGAAGGCTTCCGGTATTTTCGCCATTGAGGAGATCAAAGAGCATGCCAGGGGCGTCTGGATCGTGGCAAGCAATCACAGGGAAGCCAACGAGATCGTGGTAAAGAATGCTGGGTGTTGCAAGCCAGTGGCATTAGGCCCTGCCGTCCCCTTCGTCTCGCCAAGCGATGTTCAGCGGTACATGGTGAAGGGAGGTGTCTTGCCGTTCAGCAAGGCGAATGTATGGGCAAAAGACTGGAAGTTGTAGAGTTTCATACATCTGTTGCAACTTCATCGTTCTTGTCGCATCGCCGCGTACGACAGCTACACAAGCGCTAGGTGTCGCAATCATTGATCACGGTTTGAGAAGATTGTTCTTGTTGGGCATTGGATTTCCCGGCACTCGTGAAGAAAGTTGGCTTGCTAAAGTTGGCTTCTTCCATGCCTGATGGCTTGGTACGTCGCAGGAGGCGTGAGCGGGGGGTCGACTTAGCTTAGATAGAATGGAAGCCAGTGAAAATACAAGTGTGAGCACATTTTGAGGTGAACCTTCACGGGCCAAAAAGCCCGGATGTGTTGAGAACACAACGCGTGAAGCACCAGAGTTTGAAGATGCCCAGGTATAGCGCCCCACGGGCGGCTGGACGTCATTGGGCCGAGGTCCTGGCAGCGCGTCATGCAGGTACCCACAGAGGCGGGGTACGCCTGCTCACCCCAAAAGGGTGTCGTATCCCGAAATCCCGAATAGCATACACATCTTCTGGAACCAAGTAGATCATTAATCATCGCTTATCATATAGGTTACGACCTTACAACGTAGGATCTGCTTTGCTCGTTGTTACTTAAACCTCTTTTTTTCCCGCACGAATTTGCCCATCACAGCAATACATCCACAACGCACGTCATCTACACCACACGGAACAACAACATACTACTATCCTACCCCAAGAATGGCGCCTCCTTCTTTCCGTGACCTTCTTGGCATGCCCGCCTCTACGGCTTCGACCAGCGACTCTGCCCTTCTCATCATTGACGCCCAAAATGAATATGTAAGTAACAACCCATAGCTATCGAGCGGTCGCCATGCTTTCCCCCTAAATCTTGCAAGACAACTGCTGCCAGTTCATCGGCAAAGTTGATTGTTGCATTGAATGCAGCAATTTATTGCTGAACGTTCAGTCTCCTCCTTGCTCACACTCACTCACTCCCTGCCAGCCGCATCGCTAACGCTACCGACCAGTCATCCGGCGCGCTTACCGTAACAAACGCCGCAGCAAGCGGAAAAGTCATTGCCGACCTTCTCGACAAGTACCGCAAAGCAAACGGCAAGATCATCCACATCCTGCACCAGACACCCGAAGGCGCACCCGTCTTCACGCCTGGCACTGACCTGGCGGAAGAGTTCAAGGAGGTCAAAGCACAGGTACGCTGGCCACTAGAACGCCCTAGGGGGACTCGTCGCTAATGTATGATCAGGACGGAGAAGATAAGATCTGGAAAAACTACCCCGGATCCTTTGAACAGACGTCTCTGCATGAGACATTAGAGAAGATGGGTGTTAAGAAGCTTGTCCTGACTGGTTACATGGCACACGTTTGTGTGTCCACAACTGCACGTGAGGCTTTCCAGAAGGGATACGAAGTCGTTCTGGTAGAGGATGCCATCGGCGACCGCGATATACCTGGTGTCAAGGGCGACGAGGTTACCAGGGTGGCGCTGGCAGAGCTGGCAGATGTGTTTGGCACAGTTGTCAAGAGCGCTGACATTAAGTAGACGAGCAAGAGCCATATGTTGAGACGATTCATCCTATACAGTGACTGTAATATAAGTGCAATGGCTCATCTCAAGCGCCGACACCCCTCAGTACAGTGACGGTATGCACGTACCTCACCTTCCCACCCTCAACCCTTATCTCGTGACTGTCCGGCCAAGCTCCCAAGCTATCGAACTGGCAGCTGACCTGCACACTGCCGATACTCTCATCGATAACGTAGCGCCTCATACCATTTGCCTTCTGACTCCCTCCGTGCGGAAGACTCGCTCCACAAGGGTTGGTATACATGCTTCCCTCCACCCTCTCACATTGAGTGCCCCAGGGTATAGTGTCGGCAGCAGTAGCATTCGTCCACATGTCGAGGTAGGCGTCACCGACAGACTTGAGGAGAGCACGTGAAGGTCGCGAGGCGGTGGGAAGGGTAGACCACGATTCGGCGCGGATGTAGGCAAGGGTCTTCTTCGCGTCGAAGAACAGGTCGCCGGTTGTAGCCGCTACGGTATCGATGGAGCTGATGGACGACGTGTCGTTATTCAGATGGCGGATCTGGGTGCTCACTACGTAGGGTTTGTTCCCAGAAGCGCTGATCCACATTGTGTAGCTTGCGCATGCTTCGGTGTCGGTGGATGAGCGGTTGAGGTCGATGACGAAGGGCGTTGAGAGGAGACCAGTCGCAATGTTGGAAGCCTTGTTGTTTTGCAGATATGTGAAGTTCGTGGGCGCGAGGCTGAGACTGCTAGGAGAGCCCGCAACCTGAGCCGCTAGATAGGAGTCTGCGGCTGCAAGAAGACCTTCGCGCGTGCATTCGGCCGATGTTTGAGTAGCTGAGAGTACTCCGACTGTAGCCGTCAGCCATAGATGAGACGAGAAGTGCATTCTGTCAGATGTGATGAAGGCTACTCGTAAAGTATCGAGTCCTTGACATGACTATATAGGAGAGTTATACATCATCCCAGACATCATCGCATTCGCGAAGACTGCCGAAAATCTCAAGGGAGTGATGCCGTTGTGGCGGATAATAATGCTGGTCTAGGATGTCAATCTAAACCAATGCCTCTTAGTGGTACGCTCAAAGCGAGTTAATGTGCTTGTATTGTCTTTTATACCTGCCGTGATGATCTGTCCGGCAGCCTGGCAGTTGCCGTCTTCGAGTATCCGAGCTGGACAGCGCATTGATAGTCTTGTATTAACCCTCTGAAGCAGATACGATGCAAGGCATTTTGCCTTGTTCGTAAATGAGTTCCGCTTGATCGCTTCCACGTTTCGCAAGATGTGCGGCTGTGTTCAGTCTTCGTTCAGCCTTCGTTCCAAGGTTATTAAAAGTAGCTCATCTTAGATATTTTTGGGAGAAGCTCCATGGTGTCTGATATGGCGAACGTGAGCGGTAGTGTCGCGATCTTGCCAGGTTCATCGTAGTCTCACTTCTGCACAGGATGCTTCAACAAGACAAGCATCGGCAGGCGCGGCGGGCTTGAAGTCATGCTCGAAATATTCTGTACAAGCCAATGGCGATGATATTGGATGGCTCAGAGTCGCGTGGGTTTCTGAGGTTCACCGAAAATTCCGTACAATTGATGATGCAACGGGAGGAGAGGCGCGCAGCCCCGCGCGACGTGGACGCGCCGCAATCCGCCAAGCCTCCAGGAACACGCTAACGGCGGCCAGTGAGCATCATCATTCGCAAGTCATGCTGGTATCCTTCTACAATTCAGGTATGCGTTCAAATGTCCTTGTCTTTCTACATCGATACAAGGATGCTAACTTCATAAAGCACATAGAATTAAGATGGCTCGAATGGCCCCACCTACGCAATGCCATCAGCGCGCGTTACCTCTTCCACCGCCCCAGCCAGCGAGAGCCCATATGCCCCTGACCAGCGCATCCTCTCCGTCGTGACCTCGCAGACTCATCCGGTTCTTTTCCAGCTGATGCCTTCGTAACTCGTCGTATACCCCCACCAAAACCTCCTTGAGCTCGTCGCCCGGCTTGCCCTTCCAAGCCGCCCCTCCTCCACCAATCTTTGTACAACAACGCTCAACCACAAGGTTCATGATCTCATGACGCTTGGTGGGATATGGACTCGGTGCAGGAAAGTGGGCGATGCTCTGGCTTATGAACACGGTATAGAGGTGCAGCAAGGGGAAGTAAGGCGACTCGATCTGTTGAGAGGCTTCGATGATGTAGCGCCACGATATGTCTACTTCGCTGATGGGTAGACAGGCATTTGCGCGCCAGACTAGCCTGTTTGCGCGTGGGTTCGTGGTCATCCATTTTGGTAGCACAGCACCTGCGCTGGCCATCAAACGTGCAAGCCGAACCAGCGGGATCGCGAGACCAGTCGCTATGTTGGGGCGGCCCAGGGAGTCCCAAGATGCGGCCACGAGATTGTAGCAATCCAAAAGAGAGTCTGGCCGCCGATCATCGGGCGCGTTAGTGCGATGCGCAGTGTTAATCAGGGCCGGGATGATGGCTTGGTCGAGAATGGAGGTTACTGTGAAGGCACCGGTGGGCTCTCGCTGCCAAAGTATCTCCAGGCCAGACCATATCTTCATCATGAAAGCATGGAGGCGTTCGGGCGGCTGGTCGCATATTGCTTTCCAGATTGAGGCAACATCGAAGGTTGCGCGTGGGTTTGGTTTGGGGACCACGACGTAACGGCAAGTTGGACAAGCATTTGAGTTTCCCCTACCCTCCTTCAGCCACTTCTTGATGCACTCATGACCGAAGATGTGCTTGCAAGGCAGCGCCGCAGGCTGATGGGTCGCGCTGAAGTGCTCGGTGCAGATGTTGCAAGTGTCTGCAGGATGCAGTTGCGTGTTGAGGAAGTTGTCCATGCCTGCTTGAACGAGGGCTGCAAGTTGGTAGAGACTGAGTCGAGCAGCTGGCAACTCAGAGCTTGCAGTGATAGACATGTTCGTGGAAATGCATCAGGTGCGTGAATCTGTTTGCAGTGAACGAGCGATTGTGAAGGAACAAAGGCATGTAAGTTTGCGACTTCACGCCTCTGTCGTGTGAATTTGAGATTCAATACAAGTAGCTAACTCATAGGAAGACACTGGAAACAGCTTCCGACTTCAGAAGAGAACTTTGTCGTGAAGGGAAATCTGGTCGTATGCACTGCGAACCTGGTCGGCCATTCTACCCTCGGTGGCAGGATTAAACGTGAAGAGCCATGTGGGCTTCTTCCGTAAACGCCGCAATGTCTCTGGGGCCTCTGAGGAGAATGTGGCGTCAGTCACGGCTTCCATCGCCATGCAGGGTGCTTCCACTCAAGGTTCGCGATCTCGTCATCTGATAATGATGCGAGCTCTGTATGAGCTTCTAGCTGCCTCCTGTCCCTCTTGCTGTTGTCGCGGGTCATCCAGAGCTTAGTGAAAATCGCCACGACAGTCCATGTCACTGCGCAACCCAAGTTGATCCCATTCCCAATGGCATAACGGGGAGAGTCGCCAGGTAGATAAGTCCAACTGGCGATCAGGGCGCCAACGTATCCAAAGAAGACGTTGGTGCCAATGGCAATGCTGCGTGCAGAGTCAGAAAGCACGTTTGCGCTGACTTGTGCGTTCGTCATGGCAGCCAACGAGAAGCACGTTGATGCGCAAAGGAAGATAGCCGCATATCGAACACTTGCGTTCATCGTCGCAAGGAACATCGCATACCCAGCAATGACAAAAGGGCCCGTGAATGCAATGAGCGTCTGTCGAGAGTTCATTTGCCAGCTTACGGTCGTGATCAGAATAGTGCAGACCACACCCAGAACGTACGGCGGCACTGTCAAGAGCTGCTGTTGGACGACGGTGCGAGCTGGGTAAATGGTACGAACGATCGTCGGCAAGAAGAACGAAATGGCTATGACAGTTATGCTGTCAAGCAGGAAGATGAACGATGTCGCAAGCGTGATTGGGTTGGAGAAGCCGCGTCGAAGCTTCAAGGTATCGATCTTGTCGAGCAGTTCGGTCTGGTTGAGACGCTCGGATTTTATCCTACCAACTATCATCCGTATCTCATCTTCGGTCATCCAGCGTGCAGTGTCCGGGCGGTCAGTCAGTGTGAAAAAGGCCACGACAGAAAGGCACATGGTGACGATGCCTTCGATCGCAAAGATCCTTTCAACTGTTATTCAGAGACTTGCAGCATACAGGCTGTTTGCTTACATTTGCCAACCATCGAAGAAACCGACGGAGCTCAAGTTCAGGATAGCCGAAGCGATCATGCCACCAAAAGCTCCCGCGAGAGGGGCCATGGACAACCACAGCCCAAGACGAAAGGTCAATTCCGACCTTTTGTACCATCGTGAGAGGTAGTAAACGCATCCAGGCATTACGCCAGCCTCGAAGATCCCAAGCAGGAATCGAACAGCACACGCCTGAGCGCGGGTTCGTACGAAGGCTGTCGCGATAGACATGGCACCGAAGCCAAACGAAGTCATCGGCAGAAACCATCCAGGGCCTACTGCTATATCAGAATTGAACAAAGCGCTCTAGTCATCGTGCGCACCGATCAATTTGCAGCAGAGCGTTGCTGGCATCTCGAAGATTATGTATGACACGTAAAACGCCGATAATACGACGTTGTAGTCATATCCCTCAAGCTTGAGATCTTCCTCCATGCCAGCTATACGGGCGTTACCTGTTGCGATCAGTCCGTGGGCATAAACAAGCCGTGCGCAGAATGGCCTTACCGATGTTCGTTCGATCGATGAAACACAAGAGATACAGTACAATGACGGTAGGCAGGACGCACAGGTCGACTTTCATCAGTAGCTTCCTTTCTCGACTGCTTGTCACATTGTTCGAATTCGGCTCATCGTGACCTGCGTCGACCTCAAAGGTCATCTCACCGGCGTGCTCCCGTTCCATGATTGCAGATTTGAGAGTAAGTTTCAACGCGAAAAGCGATTGAGAAACGGCGCTGACATGCTTACAAAGGTGGGGTACTAGCTTCCGGATGAATCGATCCTGGCTTGCATGGTATCCATGTCTGACAGCGGGTGGCAGCAACTCCAGCTGCAGTCTGCGGTCGTACGAACCAGATGCTAGCCGCAATCGGACTAGTGTTTGAACAACGAGACATCTACGACTGCGCAGCAAACGTCCATGTCTTTGTCACCAACATTTGCCCACACTACAGCACTAAATTTGATCCAGAATGTCAAGCCTACAACGATTCACTCCCACAAGCAACAAAAGAAGCTTCGCCACAGGCCCCAGCTCGAGTCGCGCAACTATCGCAATCCAGCCTGGTCGATGGACGTTCACTCGACAGCGATCCAAATCGTAAAACCCCAAACGCTTTCACACACTGTTCGTGAAAACTCAAAGAAGCCTCCGCGCACCCGTCTAACTGAGCGGGTGTCAGTTCATTTCCTTGACAATTTACTCTAGCCATTAAACCAACTACCCGGCGTCCGAGCTCAACCTCGACCTTAGTTGGACCGACCGAAATCTCACTCCGCTTACGTCATTTCTGGAGTTCTCGGCTGGACCGCGACCCCGTTCTCAAAATGCCACGCAGGGTGAAAAAATCTCATGTCTTCGCGACAAAGTCTCAGCCGAAGCGGTCAAACACTATTCTGAAGCAGAAGCGACACTTGCCATCCAATACACCGCCTACCCTCGAACCCTCCTTCGATACAGAAGAATCAAAAGAATCGTCTGAAAGCGGAAGATCGTCGGCAGCATGCTCTGAAGTCTCAAGTCGTGATGGCCTGTTTCCTGAATCGTCTACGATGGCCACGACCCCTTCGATGAGTTTAGAACTACCGAAAGTCTCTGCAGTATCGAACTCTCAATGTATTGTTTCCAAAAGCGCTCTTTGCAGTACCGCCTGCCCTTCATCCTCTGCTTGCGCGAGCGATATACCCGCAGTTCCGGAACATGAGTCACGTCCACATGAGCCCGAAGCTGCTACCTCAGAGATCGAAAACGTTACGGAACACGCCGCAGAGGATTCAGACAAGCGAAAGCTCTCGAAACCCCCAATAGACCGCCTAGGCGACAACAAGCATACCACATTGGGGCCGATGAACCCGTCTTCCATGCGCCGCACGAGAAGCACTTTCAAGTCGCTAGGCCCGAGCATAATATTCAACTCGCTCTTCGGTGGTAGAGATGATCTTGTATCGACTCCCATTCCATCCTCCCGTCAGCCTCCTGCAGCTAAACCTGCAAAATCGGAAGTTGAACAGGTTCCAGCATATGCGACGACTACACACGCTGCGTGGTTTAGCAGCCCGGCCAACAAGATTGTACGTGGTGTACCGATGGGTATCTCGCGAAGTGTCGCCGAACTGCAGCGTGATGCGCGGCCCACGACTCCTGTGCTGGATCTCGAGACGTCGGTCTCCGCTCTTTCAGCGCATCAGTAATATTCGACTGGCAGCGTCGCATAAACCTTGGTCGCATCTCCTACAATGACATTTTCTGCGTTTAATATTCGGGTTTGGTACGTTGAAGCATTACGAGTGCCGTGAGTGGCTCGCTATCAAGGGTCTTCGACAGAACATGAGAACCATGGTTGTGCATTTGAGTCAACACATGAGATATTTTCCAATAAAAGACCACGCCTCCGGTCATTGCTTCCTTTCAATAACCTCATTGCCGAAAACCAAGCCTACTCTCAGGCAAAATCCCAGAAGTCACGTCTAAATCACAAGCGCATCTAAACCACGCCCGCGCCCGGACCCACATACCATCCACAATGTCAGGCGTCTTCAGCAAGCTCATGGCCTACCTCTCCCCAACGCCAGAGAAGCCAACATTCCGAATCACCGCACTCGTCGCACCCGCAACGTCACAACAATACTTCTCCGACTCCAGCTTCTCACACGCCGACCTGATTGGTATCAACGAAACCATCACGTTCGATGTCGACTGCGATGCAATCCCCAAAAGCATTCGCTGCAGCTGCCTAGCCTCTGGATGCGAATGCAAAGCAGTATACCTGAAGGAGCACTACGTTATCGAGTGGGCAGCGGGCAGTATCATGGAGAACGAAGAGGTGGAGATTGGAGGGGAAACTGTGCGCAGGGAGAAAAGGGGGCGGCCTAAGATTTGGGAGGGTTGGTGCAAGGATGGTGGAATGGTTTATTTGAGCCCTACGGAAAGGCTGAGGTGTATTGAGGGCTATGACGAGCATGTGAGAGCGGAGAGGGAGAGTGATCGGTTGAAGAAGGCGAATTCATTCTAGTTGGGACGGGCTTTTTGGTTGTTCATGCCAATACCTTCACGTCAATCTAGAAAAGATTTTTTCATTTTTCTTGTATGAGGGCCTTCTACAATCCAGTATCGCCAAATGGTTGTGAATGCGCAAGCGGAATATTCACGGCAGTGTTAGCGCACCCCCAATCACCAATCAAGCATTTACCATTGTCTCACACAACGCATTCGTTTGTCGCCCATAGCCCTCTTCACACTGTGCGTCACATGCGAACACTGATACCACCCAGTCTTTGTTCATCAATCGCACATATGGACACAGCCACTTCTGCCTTATCATTCTTCGTACCTGGTCTGCTGATACTGCGCCGCCCCGTTTCGCGCAATTTTTCCAGAATCTTTCAAAAGCTCGCATACTCTTGTAGTCAGGTAAACTACGCCCGAAGTCAGATATGTCGGCTTACTTTGATCCTCTAGGCGAAATGGAGTCGAACGCCACGAAATACACCTTGACAGTCCTGATTCCACCTAGACCACCGCCGCGCTGGTTGCCCAGCATATTCAGCAACAAACCATCTGCAAACACAGATCTTGTGGCTGCTGGGCACAAAATACCTGCATCGAATACCAATCCCAATTTCGATCTTTTCGAACTCGACGACATCGACGTTCTAGACACCAAGACAGTCATTATACGAAGTGCATGGTTTCCATGCGCTATGAGGTGTGCGCATGTTGAAAAAAAGTATGAATGTAAAGAAGGTTGCTACTTTCTCGAGAAGGGTGGGGACGTGGCAAGGTGGCGATGCAAAAGGGAAGACTGTGAGGGACATGTATACTGTGGGAAAGTAATGACGGATAAAGAAGGAAAGAGCTGCTTTGGTAAGAATGGAGAGAGAATGGTATGCTTGGAGAAGAGACCAGAGACAGATTCTTAGAGGACTTTGGCATGATAACAATACGACAAGTGAATAGACGAATCAGGATGATATTATAAGCGTAGGTATTGAGTGACGATGCGTAGATGCATAAAGGGTATTCGCTAAGCCGGAACTCGTTCGAAATGCGCAGATGAAAGCGACTATCTCGTTACTAAACTTTTACAAAAAGAAAGCGGCAACTGCGGCACCAAGACCAGCCAGAGCTGGGACTTGGACCATGTGGGCAGCACCAGTGGCTACTTCTTCAGGACCGCTGGAGGTGGCAGAAGCTCCAGAGCTAGCAGCAGATTCCGAGCCAGTGCTTGCCGCTGCGTCGGAGTCGGAGCCGGTAGCAGTGGAAGATCCAGAAGCTGCGGATGTGACAGTGGAACGGGACGCTGTTACGGAAGCGCTGCCGGCCGATACTGATGCGGCCGCTGTGGCACTGGGAAGGGAGTCACCGCCCTCGGTGATGACGACGGCGAACAGGTCGAAGTAGCCTTCGGGGAACACTGTACTGAAAGAGAGAGCGGCATCCACACCGTCCGGGCAGAGGGAGGAAGCGTATTCTGGGTCAGCGCATAGAGAGCTCATTTCGGATTCGAGGCCAATGGTAGTTTGCGTGCAGGTTGCCTCCGCTTCGTCGGTGTTCTGGCGCGAGCATGCGCCGGAGACGGTCACTGTCACGCCGTAGTGGTCATTGGAGGCGTCATATTCATAGTAGGTGTTGCCTCCGACAGTGATGGTCGAAGGGACATCGGCCTAGTCGCAACAGATCAGTGAATGTTATCGATGACTTCAACTCGTTGTTACGCACCAGTGAATCGTCGAGGGTAATACCCTGCACAGCCACAGACATGATAGTGCGGTCGTTGTCAACGCTGACCACAGAACCCTCGTACGAAATGCCCATATCGCCTAGACCGGGCATCCAGACCTGAGCGGTCGTTTGAGCCGCAGCGTAAGAGGCGAAAAGCGCCACGGAGAGGATCTTAGACATCTTGCGGTGTTGATTGAGACGAGCAATGTGGGGTATAGTAACAAGTATTAGATAAGAGTCTTGAAAAAGATTGGCAACGAACGACAGGCAGTAACGAGTGATGCTTGGCGATGAAGAAAAGGTTCGTCGAGTATGGGATATCTAGTCTACTTATTGGGGAGATTCGGAGGCTGATCGCTTAACTGACAGCGCATGATGCGGCACGCCTAACCGGGCGGCGCAGGCCCCCTAAAGACCACCAAGCCGCCTTTCTAGGCACACCGGCATCTGATATGGTCTAGCTGCGTCTATTCGTGCGACTGTTGCCTAGGAGAAATTGCGCGCAAATCCTCCGCAATTTTCGTCGAGTCAAGCCGAGTATGCTGTGGAGTGACGTCGATGTTGCTTGGTGATGCGCACTCGAAGCCATGAGTTAGAGCTGCCAAATTCTTGTACTAGGTCAGCCAGGTGGTCTACTGTTGAATGCTTGCCATGTTCAAAGATACTTCATCTTCACGCGTGTAACCTCGATGCACTGGTGACGATTCGTGTGTGAGCTAGACTTGACAGACGGAAGAGTTTGTGGCTTGCAGCATGGCCCATGCATGTTTCGGTACGGCGCTCTCTGGGCCAGTCCATGGGAAGCGACCTTACCGGGACCGCAAGCGAGGGCACATATGTATGCCAGCCCTATGCAGGCTCTAGTTGTTCGGGAAGGCCGCAATTTAGAAAGTGCGCGATTTGGGAGAGATTTTGCGAGGTGGAGTTCGGGATGAAGTGGGAGAAGCGGATGCGTCAAGCGCTGCTGACATAACCCGAGCTCAGAATTGTCACAATGGTGGCAGGCGTCTCCACGAGCTTTCTGGTCGTGTGTATCGTCACACAACACATCCAATCCTTCGTACGATAACGCGCATTGTGGAACTAAGTGTGCATTACAAATTGTGTAAATTAAGGGAAAGATCAAGGGTATCGCGCTCGCAAAAGTAATACAACGCAGCACAAACGCCAGGCCTGCCACACAACCGTTTTCAGCCATACCCGCCGGGTGTGACAAGCTCTTCCAGCCCACCAAAACCCCCGAGTCACTACCACCGTCACACGGTATACCACTCTGCCTTCACGTGCCCCTTCGATATTATCACCCCGTCGACGCGCATAGGTATTGGGCTGGAGGTCGTTTGGGAGACCGTAGTGTGGCATCGGCCTCATCCTCCATCAGTCGCGGATCATAGCATTCCCAGCCATCTCAGGCGTCGTTCTGGTAGTATTGAGCTCCACGGCGCATACCACTCGAAAAGTTGTAGTCGTCGTCGTCGTCATCCCTTGCGCGAAGGAGATCCTTGGACCAACCCTGGAAGGGCTTCTTGAGCATCGACTTCAGAGACGAAGAAGTCGCAAGTGCATGGTGCATGCTCGGTGAGGATGAGCGTTCAACTGGCGCCGTCACGGAAGAGCTGCGGCTCGATGGCTTGGATGTTTGCGCCACCATGTTGAGGGTATTGGGATCGAGTGTGAGATTGGATATTCAAATGAAATGGAGACTTGTAGGTTCAGAACGAGAGAGGATGATTGCTAACGTTCGCTTGCTTTGACAGATACCCTCCTTCGAACTGTCGGTCTGGCGCCTCATTATATACTCCTCCTATCGCAAAGTCGAAACGCATCGCTCCCAACAATTGTTCCGCCGAGCCATCGCCGAAAAACCTCATGCCGAAAGATGCATACCTTGATAAGGAGGACCCACTGCACTCTTGCATTTTCAAGACTGTAATTATGATCATTGGTCAAGAAGCATGTTTTCATTATTTAGCCTGAGTAAAGCATTGCATATGTGGCGAATCGGGTACAACTCGGACTTTCGGAGGCAGTCGGCGAGGCTGAAATCGGGACACTTCGGAATGCACGAGACATAAGAAACCGCCAAGCAACCGGACGATCACAAGCTTGTCAAGACAACATGACCAAGTGGGAATGGCAGAATGATATTTTCTAGTCTTGGAAGTTTTGCCTTCTTGTACCAGAATCCAAGACAGGACTGCGACAAAGACCTATGGTCAGAAAACTGTCTGGCGATGACCCGCGACCACTTGAACAGGCATGTTCAGCGCAGGGTCACAATAGCTGCCAGCGCTGCTGATATTGACAAAGCCATTAGATAGTGGACTTTAATTTGCTGCGCATGCGCGGTGTTGTCCGCAATAACGCTCCGCATCGCAAACCGGTCATTCAGTCTCATCCCTTCCTGCGCTGAATCTATCCAGAGCTGTCCTGGCTTCGTTTATTTGAATCATTTCTGCCTCGTTTTGCTCTCTAAGAATTGCCAACATCTCAAATAGTTCGTTGATTTGTCTAGCGAGTGATTCTGATTCTTCCAACAACAACTCCCTCCATGGACCGGGACTAGAAACGATGAGCGTGGTGCGACACATCGGGCAGGTTGCATTTGCGTTTCTGCGCAGCTTTGCGTGCATCCAGGCGTATAAGCAGAGCTTGTGGAAAATGTGAGGCAAGGGACAGGTCTTCGTCTGGACTACACCAGTGCGCGTGATGGAGGATGCGTGCTCGATAATTTCCGGTGGATCAGCCATGTCATCAGCCCTACAAATGTCGCATACGCTTCCATGCTCAACATAGTGGTCGTCTTTGAGATTGTCCACACTCGCGTTGAAGAACGCGTCAAGGCGCGCATCAATTGTGATGTTGTTGGCCATACTGAAGAGCCTTAAGGTTGAGATGCGCGAGGACGTGGTGTGTTAGGAATTTGAGTTGAGAGTAAAGTGATCGTAGCTAACGATTGAGTAGAAAGAAGGGTTGTGCTCAGGAGCCAACCTTGACGGAGCTGATGTACAGTGATTAGCACCTTTGCGACTGTACCCTTCGACACCCATTTCACTTGCGCCAAACCTTCTGGGAATAACGCGAGCACCAAGAACGTCATGACGATCCAATTTCTAACCACAGCAACTCCAAGAAAAGTGAGAGAAGAGTGCAATTGACCACAAAACAAAAAATCTCCCATCATAAAGGTACAATTCAAGCGTCGTCTTCGGCCTCCATCGTATCAGGATCGAGGCTTTATCCCTGCATTTTGTAACTCCAAGATACGCTGCTCTTCTAAGAAATGAACGTGCTCTTCTCCCAAGCGACACCGCTCTTCTCCCGCACGAAGCAGCTCTTCTTCCAACAGAGTCCTCCGACTTGACCTTAATCGATCGAGCGCTTCATTCAATTCTCGGAGACTTCGTTGCATTTCGACTGTCATGTCATAGATCACGCGCTGCCGAGCAAGAGCGGTCGGTTCTTCAAGTTGCAATCGTTCACGCTCGAGAGCGTCTCCTTGCGCATGAGTCGTACGAAATGCGGAAGGTGTAGTTGACTCATCATCTCGTGATTGCCTCTGGGTCATCGCAGTACTACGAGATGGCGATGATGAACTATGGGCTTCCGAAGTTCGCGCACACGCAATAGCCCTTGGATTGAAGACGAGCAAGCCGCGGCACATGGGGCAGTTTCCATGAAGACGATGGGTCGTTTGCTCCTGGAGCCACTTTTTGAGACACCTCTCGTGGAACACATGTCGGCAAACGGCGGTGCGAATGATTGATGTTGGCGATATAGCGCGGAGGTTGGCTTCGCTGTTTGAGACTGTTGCCGACGCCTCATCGAGCCCGCAATCGGATGGCTCGTCGTTGAAGCAGATGCCGCAGACGGTTTCGTGTTGTTTGTAGTAGTCATCTTGGAGTTGGATGGCTTCGAACCTGATGTGGGTGTAGCTGCGAGAAGTAGGCATTTTGAAGTTTTGGGTGGTGAACCGTTCTGCGGATGGCGCAAACTGTGACGATACGACGCTATCGAGAAAGATGTTGTACTGGAATGCGGCTCATGCTCTATTTAATATAGCCTCTCGTCTTCTAAGCCTGGTATCAGCAGATCTAACCATGGTCTTGTCTACTCAACTTTGGTTCACCGCGCGCACGTGCCTCCATTTTGCGAACTCTTCAAGAACCGAGGTAGCTACAAGTATTGGACTCTGCTTGTAACTTTCTTTTATCTGGTACGTTGCAGAAGACTGGTCCACTTCTAGGACGGATAGCGGCCCGCGACTAAATTCTGGAAACACAAGAATAGTGGCCGAGTTTGTGGTCTCACTATGCAACTCTACACAGCGTCCATCAATCTCGCTGGGCTAGTGCTACCAAAGACCCGTTTCCATATTGAACGAGCATTTTAACATATAGGAACTTGCGCAAGGTCATTCGCGCGACAGGATCAAGAAGATAAGAGTGTAATGCGCAGTGTGGAGTGTGGAGTGCGGAGTGTGGAGTGCGGAGTGTGATGTTGTGACCACAGGACTTATTTCGGAAATGACTCTCACTAATTATGAGCTGTCACAGTCGAGTCAAAGTGTTTGTGATACACCAAGTCGTCCTCATTCCTGTGCAACGACCGACCTGGTGTCGTTGCGTAGACGGGGGCGAACACACAGTCAATATCGTCAGGAATGTATGATTGGATAAATTGACGGTCGTAGCAACGTTGCGGCTCATCTACATCTGATATGTCAGAGATATCGTCGGATCTTTGAAGTAACGAAGTATTTTCTAGTACCCAAACTGTCGTGGCGCATCGAGTGGCTCGACGATGTGCGGCAATGGATGGGCAGGACGCCAATTTGGCTACGATGAACTCTGTCATTACTCAGATGGCGACTCAGCAAACTGAATCACTCACCTCTTGATGCAGTCACCTCGACGCATATGACAGTCACATACTGATGCGTTGCTGTGTATCCTCATGACTAACAGCAAGTATAAATTGAGCCTTGTAGATTTGAGAGATTCTACATCATACACAACACATCTAAAGCATACCATACAAAAGCTCCACTTACTTCTTCTCCCGATCAAAGAGTATCATCTTTCCAACGAACCTTCGACATGAGTAACTCAATCATCGATCCCGAAGCCAAGATAATCATCATGGCGGCAGTCGCCCCGAAGAACCAGTCTGGAATCCACAATAAGAAAATCGAAGGATCCAACCCAGCGGACTTCAAGGAACGCTGGAAGGACTGGGCCACCCTCCAGAAACTGGTTATCATAACGACTGGCGTCAAACTACAACGCAAAGAGGGATACGAGTCACGTTTGTGCGAACATCTGGAGCGATCGACCATAAACTCCTTGGGCCACAGAGCCTGTTGGACAGGCGAATGCTACATGCTCTTCTACGATGAAACTTTTGTCGAATTGAAGGGTGCTTTTTCGGTGACGCCATGGCATGGAGATGGCGACGCGACTAAGCAGGCAGAGTTCGACAAGTTGGAGATGGGGCAATGCGTTGATAAAGGTGGCAAGTTGTATTTTCTCGGAGAAGAGTCGGTGAATTGGTCGGGCCCTCAAATTTATAAAGATCATACGAATAAAGTTCCCCCAGAACAGTCGTCGAAGAGTCTAGATAGGTACTAGGTAGACAGAAGAGGTTAGCAGTGTATTATACTTGCGATTTCTCTTATTTATAAAAGTATTTTTTTATTAAAGTTATTAATATTATAAAAGTTATAAGTAGCTTATTTTACTTTATATTATTATAGTACTATAAAGTAAAGTAAATAGTAACTATAAAATAAAATTACTATATATAAATATAAG